TGCATCCAAAAGCATACACTGTTTCACGTACATAACAAAATACAACATTAAACCAAACAACAACAAAAACACCCACTACAAACATATTATCAGACATTATGAATAAGTAGCTACAGTGTCATCACTTACTGTCACATTCAATTGTTAGTCTACACTGAGACCTACTCTAAACCAAAATTCTGATATAAAAGAGATATAAAAAAGATTCTGCAGTTTGTTTAGTCGAGCCCGTGGTACTGTAAATCTTCTGCTGAATGGCAAAAACTGATATTCGTTAAATAAAATATAAGAGGGGTATGATGTAATATTACCAGCCAAAGACAGAGACAGCATTCTTTTAGTAAAGGCAGTTTGAAAACTTGATTTGAGCATGTGACCCACAATCTTTAAGCAGCTACAAAACCATTTAGCCAGTCTAGCTTTCAGATGAACAGAGAGACACTTGTACCATACACTGAATCCATAATGCATAACATTCTGTATTATAGAAAAACACTAACAGAGTGTTTGCTCCGAAGAACCTTGGTTGCTTAGGTAATAATACATTGCCGTAATTTACAACAAATATAATATATAGTTATACAGTACAGGCCAAAAGTTTGGACACACCTTCTCATTCAATGCGTTTTCTTTATTTTCATGACTATTTACATTGTAGATTCTCACTGAAGGCATCAAAACTATGAATGAACACATGTGGAGTTATGTACTTAACAAAAAAAGGTGAAATAACTGAAAACATGTTTTATATTCTAGTTTCTTCAAAATAGCCACCCTTTGCTCTGATTACTGCTTTTCACACTCTTGGCATTCTCTCCATGAGCTTCAAGAGGTAGTCACCTGAAATGGTTTCCACTTCACAGGTGTGCCTTATCAGGGTTAATTAGTGGAATTTCTTGCTTTATCAATGGGGTTGGGACCATCAGTTGTGTTGTGCAGAAGTCAGGTTAATACACAGCCGACAGCCCTATTGGACAACTGTTAAAATTCATATTATGGCAAGAACCAATCAGCTAACTAAAGAAAAACGAGTGGCCATCATTACTTTAAGAAATGAAGGTCAGTCAGTCTGGAAAATTGCAAAAACTTTAAATGTGTCCCCAAGTGGAGTCGCAAAAACCATCAAGCGCTACAACGAAACTGGCACACATGAGGACCGACCCAGGAAAGGAAGACCAAAAGTCACCTCTGCTTCTGAGGATAAGTTCATCCGAGTCACCAGCCTCAGAAATCGCAAGTTAACAGCAGCTCAGATCAGACACCAGATGAATGGCACACAGAGTTCTAGCAGCAGACCCATCTCTAGAACAACTGTTAAGAGGAGACTGCGCGAATCAGGCCTTCATGGTCAAATAGCTGCTAGGAAACCACTGCTAAGGAGAGGCAACAAGCAGAAGAGATTTGTTTGGGCCAAGAAACACAAGGAATGGACATTAGACCAGTGGAAATCTGTGCTTTGGTCTGATGAGTCCAAATTTGAGATCTTTGGTTCCAACCGCTGTGTCTTTGTGAGACGCAGAAAAGGTGAACGGATGGATTCCACATGCCTGGTTCCCACTGTGAAGCATGGAGGAGGAGGTGTGATGGTGTGGGGGTGTTTTGCTGGTGACACTGTTGGGGATTTATTCAAAATTGAAGGCACACCGAACCAGCATGGCTACCACAGCATCCTGCAGCGACATGCCATCCCATCCGGTTTGCATTTAGTTGGACGATCATTTATTTTTCAACAGGACAATGACCCCAAACACACCTCCAGGCTGTGTAAGGGCTATTTGACCAAGAAGGAGAGTGATGGAGTGCTGTGGCAGATGACCTGGCCTCCACAGTCACTGGACCTGAACCCAATCGAGATGGTTTGGGGTGAGCTGGACCGCAGAGTGAAGGCAAAGGGGCCAACAAGTGCTAAACACCTCTGGGAACTCCTTCAAGACTGTTGGAAAACCATTTCAGGTGACTACCTCTTGAAGCTCATGGAGAGAATGCCAAGAGTGTGCAAAGCAGTAATCAGAGCAAAGGGTGGCTATTTTGAAGAAACTAGAATATAAAACATGTTTTCAGTTATTTCACCTTTTTTTGTTAAGAACATAACTCCACATGTGTTCATTCATAGTTTTGATGCCTTCAGTGAGAATCTACAATGTAAATAGTCATGAAAATAAAGAAAACGCATTGAATGAGAAGGTGTGTCCAAACTTTTGGCCTGTACTGTATGTGAACTCCATGATAAAGTAGCATTCACATAAATGCCTAAATATTTAAACTTGTTCAAACTGTGTGTCATGGACAGTAACTGGTGGAGAATAAGACTGGAAGACCAAAGACTATTTCTTGTGTCTACTTTGGATTAATAATAAATTAACTGCTCTCAAACCACACCACTCATCAGTCAGGGCTGATGAATACTAGGATCATCTGCAATGCCAAACAAGTGTCATCTGAAAACTTCAATATAAACAAATTTGTAATATCAGTTTTACTATTGTCTGTATGAAGTGTAAAAATTACCTGCGGTGCTCCTCAGTCTGTAATAACAGGAGATGAGATCTAATACACATCTAAGGTGTCATTCTATGAGGCAGCCCCCTCACTCTGACATCTCTCCATCCATTCATACATCCTGTTTGTTTGTATATGTGTGTATTTCGGCCTGCGTGTGGTGTGTGTGTGTGTGTGTGTGTGTGTGTTTGAATAGTGGAGTGGAAAAAATTAATTTCCCCTCCCCATATTAAGTATACCTTCCTTCCTTTTTTAACTATATATACTCTGTTTGTAGGAAATAAATGGTACCACTGAATCAGGTGAGAATAAACTTTTCATAGACTCATCTTTGTCAGTGAGAGCTACTATTATCACTCCACTTTTCTGTAGGATAAATATAATATCCTGAAAAACAGCACACACAGAAAGCAAAGCATAAAACGTCTTTGAACTGCCTGAGTGAAATGACACATCAACTTGGCTTGCCCTACGCAAATCATGCATATAAATCTTTAGTTATTAAAGTGATTATTAACCTTGTATTGCAAAGTAAAGTCTACCAGCCAGATGATCTCTCAGCAGTTAGTGATGGCTTGAGCGTTATCTTTATTCATGCTGATTTTGAGGCTGAAACCAATCAACAGTCACGCTTTAATAATGGTGGTTAATATACAAACCCAAAGACGCTGACTTTAAATGACAGCATACGAAGAAAAATCACTAACTTATATCAGAAACGTCACAGGCAGAGCTGCTCGCTAATGGAGGGCGCAGGCTAGCAATTACCGTTAGTTAAAGCAGCTACCTTGACTTATTTTAGCAGCAATTAACGGCTTTATTTTAACGTCTTAGTAACTTACCTTTACAATGTTTGGAACAGCGGTGGCTGGTTGGAGTTACATTATATTTTAGGATAACTTCTTCAGCTAGCCATCCTCTCCAGCGGGATGTTTCTGGCAGCTCTCCACTACGCTTTCTTGGTTGAGCGCCGTCGTCGCGCACCTACGACGTCAGAAACACTGCGCGCGGTGATGACGGAAGCACACCGCTTGGTCTGCTGAACAGCAACACAGGAGGTTATTGTGGAATCAGTAATAGGTAAATACGCATTATTAGCCACTTTTTCAGTATTAACGATATATTCAGTCAACGAATAAGGTTATCGTATACTGCGCTGGGTTGTGAAAGACATTTTAGCTAAACCCTATTTACGGTGTGTCGACACGAGCCTCACACACCCCCATCTCGGCCTCTTTTTGCGGCCTTGAGCTAACGGGTCAGTTATGTGTAACGTTAGACAGATGGTGGTCAATGTGTTGTTGTTCTCAGGTTACTGTACTGCAAAGTGAGTGCCCAGAGCCGGCAGCTGAATCCTAATGCTGCTTTGCTTTGTAGCTTCGTGTTTAGCAAATGGCTAACTGGCTAGCTTTGTGTTAGCGCGGTTACGTCGGTTTCTCAGCCTAATAACGTTAATGTTTCCTCATGCAGAACCCAATTTAAAATATGTCTTATTAATGTGCTGTTGCTTTTTGGTAAACACGCGTGCCTCCATGGACATGAATGAAAATGTCTAAAGAGTGGCGAGGATGTAAGGCAACATTCGTCTTACGTTTAACCTGCACAGCTGCTTAGGTTCATAGACACTATGCTGTTTAAGGTTAGCTAATGCTGATCTTACCAGCTGTAATGTTGCTGCAATGAAGTCAATAAAAGCTTAATTATGCGGCAGATTATTCTGTTGATATGAAATGCAACGTAAATGGCATTCAGGGCTACCGTTACTCATTTACTACTTGGCCTTTTGACTGGTAATGATGCACTAATGGGAAAACTGATGTAAACAAATCGTAGGCATCATTAAGGATGAATTTGCTAGGCCTGACCTAAACACCATGTACTCAGACATACGTTGTGGCTCAACTGATAGCGTGCAAAAGATGAAACAGGAGATGTAAAGATGTGTCTACCCTACAATATAGATAGAAAAAAACAACAAAGGAAATCTGAGTTTGCTCATTTTTTGCAAATTAGGATTTAAGGACAAAAAGATCACTTGTTGTGCATATTTATTTTGGAGCAAATGTATTGAAATTGTGGATATCCTTGTTTGTTGCAGATCCATGCTGTTGTGTTTACTTTTGAAGATGATATGTGTCTTCAGGTGGGATGGTGGTCCAGTATTGGTCAACTTTGTCTCTTGAATGGTTGATTTGGTTTATAAAACCACGTTCTGACACATTACTAAGTTAACATGTCAGAAAATTTTTGTTCAGATCAAAAGGGGTGAGGTCAGAAAGTGACTTATTTCTGGTAGGATGCTGTGAAACCGTCTTTGTCCACCAATATACACCTGCTATTACACCTGCTAAAATAAAAAAAATTAATTAAATTATAAGTGGTCCTTGTTGACTAAATGCAAGCTGATGAGAGGTTTGCATGATTCATGTGCTAAGTCACATTTCAATAATAACAGAGGTATCTTAAAGGCTCGTTTCTCCCTTTGTTTTCTCAGCACAACTATGAACTGGAACAAAGGCGGTCCAGGTGTGAAGCGAGGGTTTGGGTTTGGAGGATTTTCCCTTGCAGGAAAAAAAGAGGAACCTCGCCTTCCTCAGTCATCTCACACATCATTTGGAGCCCCAGGATCCAGTGGGGGGTATGGGAAGGGCCAGCAGCTCCCATCATTTTACAAAATAGGGACAAAAAGAGCTAATTTTGATGAGGAAAATGCGTGAGTATTAAATCTTTTCCATACGCATATATACACTTTTTCAACCCCTTGCACATAAGTATATAATGTGGTTTATGGTATACAGGTATTAGAAAACTGCATCTTTGTCATGTTCAACAAGGTATTTTGAAGACGATGAAGAGGAGTCCAGCAGCAATGTGGATCTGCCATACATCCCAGCTGAGAACTCACCCACACGGCAGCAGATGCAGTCTGGTGGTGGATCAGACAGTGAAGATGACCCACTGGATGCCTTCATGGCAGAGGTTGAGGTGAGAAGAGAATTACAGTTCAGCAGAGGCAAACTAGAATATGTTTCAGACTGCTAATGTTTTCTCTAACAAATATTGTTCTTTTTCTCTTCCAGAACCAAGCTGCTAAAGACATGAGAAAACTGGAGGAAAAGGAAAAAGAGAAGAAGTCAGCCAAGTAAGACTCAAATGCGCCACATTTTTTTCCCATTTGTTTATTTTGTAGTCACTTCTGAGGTCCTTATATAGATGCTTAAATTGAAATTTGACCAGAAGGTGAAAAAAAACATTGCCCACATGAATTTATATTTTGTGAGCAAAAGTATTAGCCCACTAATTTGAGAAAATAATACTGTTAATTTTTCCATAACTCCTGTACTATTCGCTTTTATAACTATCAATAGCAATTTAGCTTTATTCAGACATTATATCATAAATTTCTCCTGTTACTGCCACAAGGTATGTCACATCCGGCATTGTTTTGCTGGCTTAATAAATAGCATCAGGTAAGCACTGATCTTAGTCAATATGGGATGTGGGCTGTCTTGGGTGTATGAACGAGCCGCAGGGAAGTTTTTTTTCTCCGCTTTTCATTTCAGGGGTATTCGTGATGACATTGAAGAAGAAGATGAACAAGTGAGTGAGCCCTCCAAAGTTCTTCATTCACTATACCGTTGATCAGAGAGGTCTCCAGACCAGACCAAACATTCCCTAAATCTGCCCTCTCTAATGTTATAAAGCCCCCCAACACACACACACACACACACACACACACACAACTGACCATGCAGGTTGCATATAGTATTATTATGATGAAGTGTTTTATTCTTGTGTACATTGTGCTTGTTTAGAAAGTGTGAAAGAAGCATGTTTAATTGTTGATTTATGTCAGCAAGTGATATGGTGATATCAGATTGTGAATAGTAATTTGTCCTTCTGTTAAATTGAATGTCTCCTTAAGTATTAGTCAGTTACTGGTGCCTGGATGCTGTGGTAAGCAGCACACTGGCTCAGTTTTTCACATGAAATGCTGTGCTCTCTGCAGGAAGCCTACTTCCGCTACATGGCAGAGAATCCCACAGCTGGGCTGACCCAAGAGGAAGAGGAAGAAAACATTGACTATGACAGTGATGGGAACCCAATTGCCCCTACCACCAAGAAAATCATCTTGCCTCTTCCTCCCATTGACCACTCAGAGGTACATTTGATACTACTCATTGAGCACAGACAGTTTTAGCATGTTGTCTCAACTATGGGTCAACATTTAATGTCTTTAAGTTGTGTCATATGAGTGATATTGTTCATCTTTTTTTGTATAGATTGATTACCCACCCTTTGAGAAAAACTTTTACAATGAGCATGAAGAGCTCAGCAACCTGACTGGAACTCAAGTGTTGGAGTTAAGGCACAAATTGAACCTAAGGGTAAGTCTTGGATTAATGCACACAAGTATATAAATATAATATAACTGAAATGATACACATGTCATAGTAGTTATTACTATGATCAGTCACTATCACCATGATTAACCAAATCCAGTTTTTAGCAATCTTTTTGGCAGTGGTGGCTCTGTTAAAAAAATCTTTGGAGATATGGGCCTTTATCATGTGTAAACTATTGGTTTCATCATCATCATAATTCTGAATGTCTTTGGATTTCTGCTTCCTTGTCTTCTCAGGTATCTGGCGCTGCCCCTCCTAAACCTTGTACTAGCTTTGCCCACTTCAACTTCGATGAGCAGCTAATGCACCAGATCCGCAAGTCTGAGTACACTCAGCCCACACCAATTCAGTGCCAGGTACAGTGCAACTTTATCATATTAACTTATTTATTTATTTAATATATTTATTTTCTTTTCTTTTGTTTATTTTTGACTATGTCATGAAGAATCTTTGTTGTTTTTTTCTCAACCTGGGTTCTAGGGTGTGCCCATAGCTCTGTCTGGACGTGACATGATTGGTATTGCAAAAACAGGCAGTGGCAAAACTGCAGCGTTTATCTGGCCCATGCTGGTTCACATCATGGACCAAAAGGAACTGGAGGCAGGAGAAGGGCCCATCGCAGTCATCGTGTGTCCCACCAGAGAGCTTTGTCAGCAGGTAAGAAATGAGAATGGATTGAGTCAGACTTTGTGAATGTACAGAGTATATTTGCTGCTGTATTAACTAAAACAATACATTGTGAAGCGAGCTGGTTTCCTCATGTATGTGCCTTTGCCAGATCCATGCAGAATGTAAGCGTTTTGGGAAAGCCTACTCTTTGCGTTCTGTGGCGGTTTATGGAGGAGGCAGCATGTGGGAGCAGGCCAAAGCTCTGCAAGAGGGAGCAGAGATTGTGGTGTGCACTCCGGTAAGTTGACCAACTATTGTCTTCGACCTGCCTTCTAAGAACATTCACACTCCACTGCTGCCACAAATGAGAGGTTTACTGTTTATGTGTGTTCGCACAGGGTCGTCTGATTGACCACGTGAAGAAGAAGGCCACATCCCTGCAGAGAGTGACTTACCTGGTGTTTGATGAGGCAGATCGCATGTTTGATATGGGCTTTGGTGGGTTGGCATAATAAGTGCTGTATCAGAGATGTTTCAAACTTGTTTCATGCACTGAATCTTATCCTTTTTCCCTTTTAGAGTATCAGGTCAGATCTATTGCCAGCCATGTCCGCCCAGACAGACAGAGTAAGTGGGTTTCCTTAAGTATTGGGGCAGTGTTTCATCGTCATAGGTAGTTTTTTTATTAATATTCTTAATATGATTTCCTTTACAGCCCTTTTGTTTAGCGCTACATTCCGAAAGAAGATAGAGAGGCTGGCCAGAGACATCTTGGTGGATCCTATTCGTGTGGTTCAGGGAGACATCGGAGAGGTAAGCAGCATCATGCATTATCTGCAAACAACGTCTAATAAGTTCTCTAAATTAAGTGTGAGTTGAAAGCGTTTCAGTCACTGTTCAAAATCTTCATATAACTGGTCCTGGTAAACTATTTTTGAACTCTTTTGGCAGCAAACGTTAACATTTTAAAGTGTACAATATTTCAGAGTAACTAAATGTGATAAAATAGAATACATGCTTTAACATGCAGATCTCATGTTTTAATTACCTTACCTCTCTGACCAGGCCAATGAGGACATCACCCAAGTGGTGGAAATGCTCCCCAGCCCAACAGACAAATGGGGCTGGCTCACCCGGCGGCTGGTTGAGTTCACCTCCTCCGGCTCAGTCCTCATCTTCGTCACCAAGAAGGCAAACTGTGAAGAATTGGCTACTAACCTGACCCAGGAGGGCTACAGCCTGGGCCTCCTGCATGGAGACATGGATCAGAGTGAGAGGAACAAGGTCATCAGCGACTTCAAGAAAAAGAATTTGCCTGTTCTGGTGGCCACTGATGTAGCTGGTGAGTGCGAGAAGAGGTGGTGGTGGAGATGGGAGTAGTTTTCTATTTTAAATTGAAGATCTTTTAACACTCTCTGCTTCCTGTTTACATCCCTCTCCAGCTCGTGGTCTGGACATCCCATCCATTCGCACAGTGGTAAACTACGACGTGGCACGAGACATTGACACGCACACACACAGGATTGGTCGTACTGGCCGTGCTGGAGAGAAGGGCGTCGCTTACACTCTCCTCACCGGCAAAGACACCACGTTCGCTGGCGACCTTGTGAGAAATCTAGAGGGAGCTAATCAAGCAGTTTCTAAGGAACTGATGGATTTAGCGATGCAGGTAAGATAGATAACTCAAAGAATCAAAGCGATAGAATAAATATATTTGTTATTAGGAGTGAATATTTTTAACTTTGTTTTGTTCACATTTTTTCTCCAGAATCCTTGGTTCAGGAAGTCCCGATTCAAAGGTGGTAAAGGAAAGAAGCTGAATATTGGAGGAGGTGGTCTTGGTTACAGAGAGAGACCAGGCCTGGGGGCTGAAAGTTCTGTGAGTTGCTACACTAAATATGCTTTTTTTTTTTTTTTTTTTGGACGTGGTAATGTCAGGATAATCATAGTAATTATGAAGCACTGTGAAATGAATTGAACAAAATTCCAGACAACACCTGTAAACTTTTACCCTTTGACATTATTAAATACTCCACAATGGCAAAGATATTTCTTTTAAATTGAGGTGATTCACTGTGATATTTGGAGAAAATTCAGATGAATCTGAGTCACCTTCTGTTGTTTTTGCAGGAACGTAGCAGCAGCTTGTTGTCTTCTACAAGTAGCTTTGAAGGCTACAGCAAACCAACCACTGGGGCGATGGGAGATCGCATGTCTGCAATGAAACAAGCCTTCCAGGTAGAACTCTCTCCCTCCTCTTCTTCTGTCTTTGTTATGCCTTTAACCTTATTTCATTCACTGATAAATCAGCATGCTATCACCGCCCTACAAATAAATTTTGGTTATTTTATGTTGCGAGGCAGTGCAATCTCTAATTTGAAGTTTCAAAATAAGGATTTCTTGTTTTGCCTCTCAGGCAGCTCATCTCTTCTTCTCAATGTCTCCTTTCTTCTAGGCTCAGTATAAGAGCCACTTTGTGGCTGCATCCAGCGGCCCTCCAAAGCTCACCACTAAGTCTAACAGCTCGTCATGCTGGACCAGTGCTGGCAGCCTGAGCTCTGTGCCAACTGAGTCCGCCAACGGCTCAGAGCGGTCTCACAGCGCTGCCTTGTCCATGTCCATGGCTGGCTTCACTAGCGCCGGCTCCTTGAGCTCTGTGCCTGTCAGTCAAACCAGTTCACAGCACAGCTACCCTCCGCCTGCGCCTGCTCCACAGAGAGACATCCCAAGGGACAGACACGGTGAGGACAGAGGGCGCCACGACAGTTACCACCGCCACAGCGACAGGAGCGACCGACACAGTGGAGAGGACCGACATGGAGACCGGGATCGCCATGGAGACAGAGATCGTGACCGCTACGGGGACCGGGACCGCTACAGCAGCAGCAGCAGTCGCCACAGTGATAATCGTAATGGAGATGGAAGCAGGAGAGACAGAGATGATCGGAGGAGTGAGAGGGACGGGGGAGACAGGGGGAGTGGGGAGGGGAGGGACAGAGGAGATGATAGTTTTGCTGTCCCTGAACCACCAAAGCGTAGAAAGAGCAGGTGGGACAACTAAAGAAAACAAAAAACACATCAATAGAATAATATGTGCAACCAACTGCTCCATGATGAGCTTGTCTGTTGTGTAGGCAGATAGCAAAGCATATCAGAGTCAAGCACAGGACCGTAGGGGGATTTGTGGACTCTTAATTCAAGTGTACTGACACTCCTGTCAGGTTGGTTAGGACCTCATGATTTGATAAGAGCTCAACAGAGTGTGTCAGACATAACACAAGCAGCTCAGAGACAGCCACTGTACATATATCATCAAGACTGTTGTTAATGTAAATCAATAGGATTGAGCAATAGAGCTGTAATGAATCCTGCTGTCAGTAAACAATTCAGAGCTAGGATATGTTCTCTTGTTTTCTCTCATGGAGCTCCTAACATGCTTTTGTGCTTGCAGATTTGAAGCTTTATTTTTTTTTCCTAATGGATCTTTGCCAGGTGTGTTAGTGTGTTTGCATTTTGTTGATCTACAAAGATTACTCTTAGAACTGTTTCATTTTTTTCACAAGTGCTCTGTGATGATTGACTCACCCACATACATGTTAAAATGATGTATAGCTCTTTGTGTCTTGTATTCAAGTCCTAGTGAAGTGCCTTTCTTTGGCATTTAGTCTGTCTATGCTTTTTAAATGTTTTTCAACAAAGATGCATTTGTTTATATAGGAGGAATTTCAAGTGTTCATTCACACAATGGAAAATGTGAAGTTTTGATTAAAAAGACCTGTTTAGCATCAATTTCTGTATCTGCTTCCTGTGACATTCAAACTGTGTCATTCTTCTGGTTTAACCCAGATAACATATACAGAGCTTTAAGTGGGTATTTTATGCAGTTACATCAGTCTAATAGTTTTATTTTGTCCTATTTTTCTTGAAGCAAAGGGCATTAGGCATTAGATGTAATACAGAGCATGAAAAAGAAATTCAGAAGACATGTTTGACAAAAATATTTTTGTCTAGTATTCACTAGAGGAACTACTGTGCTATCATATCTCTGAATGACACAAGAAGCTACAGCTGAATTTCTATTGATATGGTTAATACTGATGCAGCTGACTTAAACATTGATATTAACAAGTAACAGCCAGCCATGAACAAAATGCAGCACTGCAGCTCATCACTGTGACCAGTAGGGGGCAGTGAACACTAATTCTGAATGCGCTTCGCCCAAGGGCATGTTAACACTGATGACACTAATAATGTTAAGTTGTGGCCTCTAACAGTGATCACAAGCAAACAATCAACACAGCCATTTCACATCAGCACTCAAGTAAACTACATATACATTCTACTGTACTTAAGAAAATATACTGGTGTGCTTTAATGTGATGAGTCCACGTTTAAAATGTTTTTGGAAATCATGGGCGTCCTGTCCTCCAAGATAAGGAGGAGAAGCACAGTTGAGACTGTTATGGGCACAAAGTTCAAAAGCCAGCATCTGTGATGGTCTGGGACTGTGTTAGTGTCCATGGCATCATGGGTAACTCTCACATCTGTGAAGGCACCATGAATCCTGAAAGTTACATACAGGTACTGGAGAGACATATGCTGCCATCCAGACAATGTCTTCTCAGGGACATCCCTGCTTATTCCAGCAAGACAATGCTAAGCTGCATTCTGAAGGTGTTACAACAGCGTGGCTTTGCAGGAAAAGAGTGCAGGTACTAGACCGACCTGCCTGCTGTCCAGACCTGTCTCCCATTGAAAATGTGGGGCATATTATGAAGCACAAAATACAGCAATGGAAACCTTGGACTGTTGAGTCACTTAAGTTATATATCAAGCAAGAATGGAAAGAACTTTAGGAGCTTTTTGGAATGTGCTTCAGGCATCAAATTCATAATAAGTGTATATCAGTCAATCAGTATCCTTGTGGCTTGAGGATCAAAGCTGCCTCTGAGCCTCTCTGTGCTGGCCTGGTGTAACTGTACCTTCTTCTCGACCTCAGCAGGGTGAAAAGGCAGTCTTCCAATTGGCTGGGATCTTTAATGATTCACCTGATCCTATTTTTGCAGCATCTCAAACATACTTTATGTAGGTGAGAGCAGTGCCTATAGTGTGTACAGATTAACCAACCACTCTTTGTGGGGCCTTGTGGCAAAACAAACAAATAAACAAACAATAATGTTTATTGCAGTTGTACTAATCCAAAAGACTGCATGCCAAATGTGGCCTTCGATAGGGTGCTGGGGGCCACCCAGCCATTTTCAAATTTACAAAATAAAATAAATTGATTCATAGGAGGAATTGTTATGGTACTTTTAATGTACATAAGGTACCAGGGTGCATTAAGAATAGCATCAACATAGAGCTTTATAAGAAAATTGCTAGGGGAGGATCCCCTGCAAAAGTCAAAGATTTTTATTCGCCATTTGTGCACAAACCAGACAGTCTAAGCACCCCAACAGAGGTCGGAGCTCAGCCCCTACTGTCCTAAAATTGTAGAAACGCCCTTGTGTACATGTGCAGGGCTGCTGCAACTGGCCCCTGAACCCCTGTCATTTTGCAAAAGTGGCCCCCAGGCAAAGCAAGTTGAGTATCTCTGATTTATCAGTTTGACGGTCAAAAGGGATTTGCAAATCATTATATTCTGTTTGTATTTATGTTTTACATAAACTATACCCAACTATTTTGAAATTGTGTGTGTGTGTGTGTGTGTGTGTGAACAAACCTTATTCAGCTTTGTTGTCCTTGTGTTTAGCTCATATGTCTATGTCTATGCAAGCTACAGCAAAACAAACAAATAAAGGAATCGATTTTCTTGAGTGTGTTCACACTTACTGGGCCAATAAAGTAAAAGCTTTACAGTGACATCCTCGTTCCACTCATAATTGTGATTTGTCCGACAGCCCCTGAATGCATCAGGAGCAGATGAGAGCCAATCGCGTGCGACATCCTGCCGGAGAAAAAACGCTCTGTTCTGATGAAAACCGAGACGTGAAGCGAAGTGGAGGTTATAAACTCACCGGCACGGCGGCCAGCAGCGTCTACAACAAAAGCCTCGAAAAAAACTGAATGAGAAAGCAAATATCAGCGTGCAGCCTCTGAGTGAACAGACGTTATCAGCCCGGCGTGTCGCAGACAAGAAGCGCAGATGGTGAGTGGTTTTTATCGTCTGTTAGCACCGTGTGTGTCTGCAGCCTTCCCTCCCTCCGCTGCTCTCCTCTCGGCTTTTTTTTTTTGTGAGATGAGGTGAGGTGATGATGCTCGTCCACTGGCTAACGGGGTTAGCTAACCTGGATTTGTTGTATAAGCCACGGTATAAATGTTGCATGTAAGTGCAGTATTTGGGCTGAAATATAACATTACTGGGGGCTTTAAGTTGAATTTGAGGAGAATTTAAACGCCCGCCGTCGAGCTCCTCAACATGCTAACTGCGCCGCTTGTTTCAACGTCTATTAGCGGTAGTTAGCTAGCTTGCTGGCTAATTAATATCAAAGGTGATTTAAACCCACCAAATAAAACATGTAACTCAAATTACCCCAGCTTATTTGTAAAGCATTATATCTTATGGTTCCAATTTAAATTTCCTTGCCTTTTAGCCGATTTGTTAAAAGATTAGTGGTTTTACGTTATGTGCTGTGATTTAACGTTTTGTTTTGTTCAAGCGGCAGTTCTAAGCAGATTGTTTTTGTTTGTTTGTTGCAAATGTGTTGTAACTGGACTAATGTTGGCTCCAACCTGTCCAGTGTTACATAAAGGTCTTTAGTAAAGCAACTAATCTGTAACAGGGCATTAACCCCATAAACCATAAATAAAATGAACACTTAAGTAAAAGCAGAAAATCAATTTTAAGCTTTCTTGTAATTAAGGCATCAGTATCATGGTTAAGATGCTGATCTTAATGAGACTTTCACTTTGGTATCCTGGTTTTGAGTCTTATCCTACTTCTAATTTTAATTGAGACATGCTATTTTATGGAATCCTGGTTATTAATGTCACCATATACATGATAATAACAGTATCCATGTTTCTGATCATCTTTTAATCAACAGAGAGTGATCAGAAACCTTAATGTGGCCTTTACATGCCACAGCATCGTCCAGCTAACTTGCAGGAAACGTTTCCAGATTTGAGCCCAGGATAAGTACACTCCAAAAACCAGATTGTAACTGGGACACCAGTGTGCAAAATGTCCACTGCAGTTTATGAAATCATCTACAGCTGCTGAGATGGTCATCTATGATTGACTGGATTAAACCTCTGTGTATGTCAGCATTAGATTTAAAACCCTACACCAGGTGTAAAAAGACATGTGCTTCACTCTCTTTTTTGTACAGATGTCTTGCCTGTGTTTGTGTTGCTGAGTAGTTTACAAACTGCTCTGTGGTCTAGTGAAACCACTTTTATCCATTCAGGGCACCACATTTACAACAGTCTGTCATTACAGCCCTGGCGTATGGCGACAAGGCTTAAGTAAGTATATGGTCATTTTCATTTCCTGCCAGCGTCAGTGGGCTGGCTGACTGTAATTTCAGTCAGAGTTGACAGCACAGATTGACACCCTGCTCTCCTGGCTGATTTACGTCAGTATGCTGGTGGATTTGTGAGGCTGTTGTCGCAATTTGACTTGTTTGCCCAAAAAATAAATAAATAAATAAAAGGATTTAGACAAAGCCCGTTGTACAAAGCTGCAGTGAGAACTAATAACATTTATTTTGTTTGACCATATGCTGCTCTGTCAAACAATTACCATTACCGCACAGAAAACTGATTTGCTGGGTATGTCAGAAGTGCCATATGTTGGGGGGGGGGGGGGGGGGTTTCTGCTGTCAGATGTGCAGAACAGTATTAAATGGGTCGCCAGCAGGTCCAGGAGATAGAGCTGCAGGCAAAAATGGTCAGACTAATAATTTCCACTTGCTGCATACCTGTCCCTTTCTCTCTCATTCCTAATAATTTATGAGGTTTTCCTTTTTGAAAATGAGAAATATTGACAGGTTTGTTATGTGTACAAAAGAGCACACACGTTTCTCTGTGTGATTTAATGTTTTTTAGGGGTAGAAATAGTTTCTATTTTGATGGAAGCCCAGTTTTACCTTGAATATAATTGTCATGTTAAGGTATTATTTCTCAATCATCAGACAGATGTCTGATTGCCAACTTGGCACATATGTTCATGCACCCCACCCAGTTTATGTTGCTTCTTGTTTCCTCCTTTTCTGGGTAATAGAAATCTGACTGAAGGCTCTGCAAACCTGTATAGACGTTTTCTGGCCCAAACAGGCAAAGGCTTAACACATTCCTTTCACTTCGATTTGTTTGATTTATTTCATTTCCTGACATGGTTCACTGCAGTCTAATTAAACTCAGATCTCGGACAGATAAAGGTGCAGCTTCCCTACAAATGCAGCAACAAATCAGTCTGAGTAAGATGTCAAAAGCCAATTGTCTTTTTATTGCTCATTATTTATTGGCATTGGGTTTATATGATATATTTCAATCAGCAGCTCCCTGCTGTTTAAATCTTTGTGTGCATATTCTCAGTTTTAATAGTCTAAACAACAGTCATGCCACTCACATTGCTTTGCATCTCTGTGGCAGTCAATGCTGATCTAATGATGTAGGCTGTCTGGTTTGAAAGGACCTTAGGGCAGGCTGATTTAGAAAGACTTAACGTGTAGAGTTTCCCACAGTATCACCCATCAACAGTAGATGTGATTTCCAAGACTGCAGAGCTCTGTGGGAATCTACTCATTGTAACCTAAATGATCCACATTTGATCTTGGTACTTAAGACAACTTATTTAGTGGAAAAAAAGTCAACACTAACTCCCCTGTCCCTTGGCTTTCAATGTCTCAGTCAACAGCGTCTCAGTTAAGGAGTCCTTAGTGTGTGATGGAAATGTTCTATGATCACAGAGCAGATATTTGCATGAGGTTTTTTTTTTTTTAAAAAAAACAAAAAAAAGATGGGATAGGGCATGTTATCCTGAATTCCAGTCCTGGAGGAGACTGTGGTTGTGAAATGTTTCCCTTCTTCTTCAGTTTGTGATAACATCTGATCAGAAGTAGCACTTGAGGCTGTTTCTTCTTTACCTTCAGTAAGTTGCTCCAGGCTCCAGGTCTTCAACACATTCTTTTACAGGCCTTCACTGGTTTTGTTACTTGCAGTTTTAAGAAAAACACATCAACAGAGCAGCTGCTGCAGCATACCAGCACCAACCATTTGTTTTTATGAACATCGCAGGTTTAAACACCATTTAGTCAAGGGATAAAATGAGGCATACAATTTTTCGACAAAAACAGACATTGCATTTGGCTTTCTGACTTTATTATCTGATTTTATGATGTTTTAACTTGATGTCAGACAGATATTTGACACAAACAATCAGAGGACTTAAGTAGTTTTAATTATGCCCTCAGGCAACTTCTTCAAAGGACTGACAAAAGGAAACACTGAGCTTTTTCAGCGAAGTTGGAAAGGCATTGGGGTGTAGAACTTAATGGTCTGTGAACAAAAATTTGCTGACTACAAATTACAAGCGAAAAATTAAGGATAGACCGATACATCGGCCGGCCGATATATGGGGCCGATATTTGAGTTCTTTTACTTGTATCGGCATCGGCCAATACGCGCGTGGGTTCGTGGATTTATTATTCCCTGGCACTTTTTTTCATTTGAAAGTATGTGGTTAAGTTGAACAAAGCTGTTGAATCCTACTGTGTACAGTAGTTGTTGTTGTTTTATTTATGCTTCAGCTTAAATATTTGTTTATTTTATAAAGACATTACTGGAAGATTTAAGAGCACTGAACTCTTTTTTTATTTGAATGTATTATAATAATAATAATAATAATAATAATATTCTACCTGTTCTACCTCAACTTTCCATCTTGTTGTAGTATTTTTTACTGTTCAATAAATGTTTCTTATTTTAAACTTGAGACCTGTAATATTTGTTATCATTGTGTCATTTTTTTTATGTAAATTGAGGGAGCAAAAGCAGTATCGGCCCCAAATATCGGCTCAAGAAAATCGGCAGTCCATAATCGGTCATTGGCTAAGGGTGATGGGAAAAAAAATCGGTATCGGCCCTAAAAAATCCATATCAGTCTATCCCTATGAAAAATCAGTATCACAATCACAATCTGAAAGAGCAGTGCCTTCTCAGGAATGATGGTAAAATGTGAGCATTTTGTTTTTCCCTTTTTGAGGACTAGTTCTTGTTTTGATTTCAACAAAAACACAAAGAAAAATAACACTTCTGAAATGCTCCATTTTTTTTTCATCTTCTTAAAGTAACCTAGACCTGCAATCATCAGTTGATTAATCAATTAGTGGGTTGACAGAGTTAGAGTAAATAATAGATTAATTGTTTAAGTGAATTTTCAAGCAAATATGAAATTTGATAACTTAGGTTGTGCACTATTGATAGGATAAAACATAGGACAATTGAAAACGTTGCCTTTTGGGAAGGAAAAATTTTCACAAAGTTGTAACCCTATTTTTCCACCCTCTTCGAGTTGAGCAATTTTTAAGCATTTGTCAAAGTACAGCAACAAAGCCGCACACTTCGATAAATCCTTCAAAAGGTTTTATCTAGACATTAACAGCCTCCCTAGACAGGAAGTGAAAAAACAAGTGTCCGGCGTCAGCTGACTAAGCAGACATTCAATGTCCTGTGGCCTCAAACAGAAAAAATGCCCCATCACTTTCTCGTTGCATACAGGAAGCTTAAAAAGGGAAGAGAAGTAGTGGCTGACCAAGCCCCCCCCATATGTGATTACTCTGCAGAGTGGCGTGTTGAACCTCCATCAGACGGATCAAACTGCTTCATCCTACTTCCACTTCCACTTACTTTTCCATCACAGGAAAGTTTTTTTATTAACCACATACCAGTCTTGAGTTAGAGGTTGTTGTTTTTTTTTCTCGGGCATCTTGTTCACATAACTTGCTTCGTCTCTTCATGTTCAGAGTTATTGATAGAAGACTGCTGTCAGGGGGAGACTGTATATCTTCCCTGCAGCAGCTGTTTTAGTTGTTGGATCAGTGTCATGGCTCGCAGGTCCAGAAAGTGCAATATACGATGAGATGCTACCTCCAAAAGCCTCATGGTTTATATTGCGTGTACCGGACTAGAAATATAGTTTGTTTT